TTCAATTTATACACCAATCCTGATTCAATGAAAATTTGAGATAAATAACCTGATTGCAGCAATTATATTAATCGAAAGGCAGCTCACTCAACTGAAGCTCTTGCAAAAAAAGATAGAAATTTAATCAAATTTCAGCCGTATTGACACTGCCTTTGTCTCACTTTAGTCATATTAAATAATCTAAAACAGACTTTTTGGTTAAAATTTAATGTAGTGAGCAAATAAAATAGGTACTGCCTTAGGAACTGCATGCATTAGCGTCGCTCTCTTGCTCAAATTATTATCCATACCACAATTGTAGTATTGGTTCAGCGCCTGTAGTAGACGTGTAGCTAGAGCGTCATATTTGCTTCCCGTATTATTATAGTGAGGTCAATAACACGCTAACAGCGGATAGTATAGCCAGTGACGTTAACATTTAATATCCTCAGAGCTACCGTGGGGTTGGTAACGCGTCAGCAGTGGATGGTGTAGCCAGTGACGTTAACATTTGCTATCCTCAGAGCTACCGTGGGGTTGGTAACGCGTCAGCAGTGGATGATGTAGCTAGTGACGTTAACATTTGCTATCCTCAGAGCTACCGTGGGGTTGGTAACGCGTCTGCAGTGGATGATGTAGCTAGTGACGTTAACATTTGCTATCCTCAGAGCTACCGTGGGGTTGGTAACGCGTCAGCAGTGGATGGTGTAGCTAGTGACGTTAACAATTGCTATCTTTAGAGCTACCGTGGGATTGGTAACGCGTCAGCAGTGGATGGTGTAGCTAGTGACGTTAACATTTGCTATCCTCAGAGCTACCTTGGGGTTGGTAACGCGTCAGCAGTGGATGATGTAGCTAGTGACGTTAAAATTTGCTATCCTCAGAGTTACCGTGGGGTTGGTAACGCGTCAGCAGTGGATGATGTAGCTAGTGACGTTAACATTTGCTATCCTCAGAGCTACCGTGGGGTTGGTAACGCGTCAGCAGTGGATGATGTAGCTAGTGAAGTTAACATTTGCTATCCTCAGAGCTACCGTGGGGTTGGTAACACGTCAGCAGTTGATGGTGTAGCAAGTGACGTTAACATTTGCTATCCTCAGAGCTACCGTGGGGTTGGTAACACGTCAGCAGTGGATGGGGTAGCCAGTGACGTTAACATTTGCTATCCTCAGAGCTACCGTGGGGTTGGTAACACGTCAGCAGTGGATGGTGTAGCCAGTGATGTTAACATTTGCTATCCTCAGAGCTACCATGGGGTTCGTAACGCGTCAGCAGTTGATGGTGTATCCAGTGACGTTAACATTTGCTATCCTCAGAGCTACCGTGGGGTTGGTAACACGTCAGCAGTGGATGGGGTAGCCAGTGACGTTAACATTTGCTATCCTCAGAGCTACTGTGGGGTTGGTAACACGTCAGCAGTGGATTGTGTAGCCAGTGACGTTAACATTTGCTATCCTCAGAGCTACCGTGGGGTTCGTAACGCGTCAGCAGTGGATGGTGTAGCCAGTGATGTTAACATTTGCTATCCTCAGAGCTACCGTGGGGTTGGTAACGTTTCAGCAGTGGATGGTGTAGCTAGTGACGTCACACTGGCTTTCCGCAGCGCCTTAGTAGTGGATCGTATCAATTAAACGTTACAATTGCTATCCGCAGCGAGACATAATAGGGCTGGCAACCCTACATCAGTGGACGGTGTAGCCTGTAGCCTATTTGCTATTATATCATAATCATGCTTTTGTTACGGTAATTACATCGGCTCGTTATGTTCGATCCTGTTTTGTTTATGTACATCCGCCAACCTCTAATTAACCTTTGTTGAGATTTAAACATGAAATTCCTATGCTTTTTGAATTTTCTGGTTTAAAATGCCAAGCCAAAATCACGAATTTTACAAATAAACAACTTATATTTTAGTCAAATAATTTTGTTTCAAATCATACTATTTTTCAGTTGAAGTTATATGATTATTTTCTTTTTAATTATTTGTAAAATGTTAATCATCTTTTTCAGAAAATCTTAGCAATTACATTTCAACGATGTCTGGACGCATGAGTTTCATGGCAATTAGAAGTAAGGTGCCTTCAGGTGACGTATGTGTGTTCATGAGTAGACTAATCGAGCTGTATGCTCTAATTCAGATTTATTAAATAGGTTTGATATGAGCATTACATTGGTTGGAATACCAAAAAAAATTTTTTCGTCATACTCCAGCAAAAGCAGCCATTTTTAATGCATGCGTTGCGGGTCTCTAGTAGCATTTTTTTTATTTTTACTATCATTTTTAGTCTCTAGGGAGTAAAAATCAGCTGTTGTAAACAGTTGTAAATTTCCATTGGCAAATGTATTGATCGAAATTATTTATCGATTGATTTGTTAGGTAAGGTTTTATCCTATTGTTGTCGATTGCTCGACATATCGATGGTACAATAACACAATCGCAATAGATTATAGCTATTTACATTACAAGTGTAGTAAGAGCGTTTTTACATCACGCAGGTGAATGTTGTGCAACGAGCGAAGGCGAGTTGCATAATTCACCGAAGTGATGTAAACACGCTCTTGCGTAACGTGTAACGTACAAGATTTTACCTGACCCGACAATATTCAGGAGTTCACGAGCAATATGCTTCATTATCAATTTCACTCATCTTCTAACAGTAACGTTCATTTACAAACAAAAGCTAGGTTGGGAAAATTCTTCAAAGCATAACAATAACATTCAAACACAGCTGATTTGAACGTCGTTGGCTCCATAGAGGTATATTTTTTAAGTTATCCACTCAATGTTATTTAAATGGGTTTTATTACATCACCGAGTGAGTTTTTTTCAACTTTACATCACTCGAAAAGTAAGGAAGTTGTATACATCACGCTTGGGATAGGGAAGTTTAACATGGCGGGTTAGGTAAAATAATTTAATCACTTACTAAACAGCTGCTTATTTCTATTAGCAGAATTGAAAACAAGCTGGAAGTCGTTTTGAGAGGTTATCTTTACATAAAAATTATATCGTTTTTTAGCTTTTTTAATTAATGAAGCAATATGGTGAAAAATATAGTTCACCACACGGGCAAAAAGTAACTTTTAAACCCTCGCTCATTTTCCGACCTTGGGTCAAAAAGAGTCAACTTAGGCCCTTGTTAACTTATATTGGATTTATTCGCAATTATTAATGAAATGTATAATTAAATTTACAAGTTCAACAAGGTCAATGTATAATAGTTTGTTTTATTCGCTAGCGCTTTCAGAAACTAGGTTTCCATCGTCAGGCAATAGTACACTAGTACAAAATATACCCTAGTGATGAAATATACTATTATGCCACACAACACTGTTTTAATGAGCTTCCAGTTCCAGTTTGCCACCAGCTTAACCAAATGGGGTTTCAATACGTACTACTGTACTGTAATGAGTTTTTACCATTGAGATATAGATTATAACTGGAGTCACTACCCTCTGGTAAAACGTTAGAGAAAAACGTGCCACTGTTTTGGCTGGTTTGTTTTTGGTGTTTCGTGTTGTTAGGTTGGCCGTGTGATCGGTTGGTAGGATGCTGTCAAATAATTCCAATTCATTCGAACCTAACCATACTATTTATTTGGGGTTATGTTAACCGTTATTTCAAGGACTTGTATCAAAAACTTATTTAAGTTATGGCACGTTAAAACCTGTGTATTTAAAGTTATTTTGAAACATTATAAATTGTTTTTGTTTGATAGTAAATAAATACTAACTTATTTACCTCTTTTCAAGCTATTTGGTGAAAATAGGCTAGTCAAGTTTCCTGGTTTGGAGATATTGGTTTAGGCCAATAGCCCTATGGCATTTGATTAAATAACGACCATCGGTTTATGATCTTGTTAAAATGGGTTGCTCTTGCTCGTCAAATAAATAAATAAACTTATATTGCAATCATAATGTTGAGTTGGCAGATTTTTGTTTACTATCATCAACAAAACAGGATGACGCCATCTTGATTTTGCCTCTAATTTGACAAGTCCCACCAACCTGATCACCCGGCCAACCTAACGAAACGAAACTCTGAAACAAAACCAGCAAAAACAGTGGTACGTTTTTTAAACACAGAGTGGTTACTCCAGTTATTATTATAGCTCAGTGGTTTTTACCGGACACCAACCAGCTGATTGAATTTGAAAATGAGTGGCTATAAAAAAAAACACAACCTCTCCTGGAGGTTATGAGTAGTGATTGTTAGTCATTTAGTCGGTGGGAAAAAATTAGGATTCGTAAAGATGCTTTTGTTAAGTTAGCTTAGAGAGTAGTATGGGGGTAAAATATCGTACGTCACTCGTCCAAATTGTGTTTACCGGACTCTTATGGCAATCCCACACTCGACTTCGCCTCGCACGGGAACAACCACACTTGTCGTATAAACACATATTTTCAGGACTAGTAGGCCCTAACGTCATATTTTGTTTTTTACAGTCTTTCCATTACTAGGATATGTTTTTAGTATAATAACTATAGTTTTTAAAGTGCATTATCATAAAAATGTGACGTGCTACTCTGAAATGTTTACCTGTTATTCATCTTAAAATTATGCTGGTTTCATCCATAATTGCATATAATTTCCTGAAAAATTATTGGTTAGTGATATGCTACAGCAGAATTCAGTTTTTGGAGATAATAAAGTATTCAGGTGAGTTTTAGAGCACCACAAACAGAATTGTGTTGAGGTTAATCACCTTTTATTGCATCAACTAAAAGTATCCTGACAATCCCTACCCCACCCTCAGACTACGTCAATGTAGAGAGTAGACAACAACGCTTACCCTGTATCTTCAATACAGTTAACGTTACGAAGTTTAAGAGTGTATGTGAAAAATAATCAATAAATAAAAGTCCAAACTACCAGCATTTGACTAGAAACTTTACACAATTACTAACCTAAGCTCAGCATAACCGTCACACAGAGAACAATGGGTATAAGCAATTAACTAGTTTATAATAAAATTTATGTATATTAAAAATTTACAGGAACAACAACAGTTTTGTATAGAAGCTTCTAAAAACAATAAACATATTTTATTAAACACTATTTGCAATAATTTTTTTTATTTTAGTTAGTGGCATTATCATAACTCGTTTATTCAGTTTCATGTTTTGTGTTAGCAACAATGCCATAATCAACATTGAGTATTTTTTATTCATAAACTCTTAATAAGTTTCTACATCTGATAATCCAAACTTAAACTATTCAATTTTTTTACTTAACCATAAAAAACAATGACTGCAACTCACTTAATTTATATTTAGACAGCAATGAGAATAGTTTATGAAAAATGAATTTTTTGACTGTTTTTAACGAGGTTGGAGCAAAGTATTTTACTAATTTTAATACGAGAATTTGTTTAGTTCAACTGTACGATATATTTAATAACAACTGTCAAGGTAGGTACAACTATTTGTATCTGTACCTATTAATCAATTTTAAACTTTTGCTACACAGTAAAGAGTAGGCCTACTCTTTATAATGCTATAATTTATGTGCTTGTGTTCAACATTTTGGCTGAGTCTGCTCTCTACCATTTGTAATTAAATTCACCTATCCATAATCCAAGGATGCCTTGTGAGATTCAAGAACTTTGTCTTAGTTTTGTTGTCATACTAGTCAACAGCTGATCATATGTCTTTGTTTATGTGTCAAATACTGCTTCCATAAGGATTACATTGAAACTTTGAGACCCAGTGGGGCGGATTCCTGAGAGACTTTTGTAACGCCATATAGATGTTGGCACTCGCCGATATGGTCTTTATCACCATGCAAAATTTGAAAACGATTGATTCAGCCGTCTAGGAGGAGTTTGCGTATTACGAAATGCACAAGAGTCGACGTATAAGAGCTTCGCTCGCTCCGCTCAATTACTATTGACTTAACGTTTCAATTATTATTCGTATACATTAGTTTAGCGTATTATTACACCCTTAGTTTGTCACATCTATTTAAAACATATTTTTTACTAATTGAAACTCAATTGAAAATCCTTTTGCTTATAACATCACTTCAATATTTTCTGTTAACTAACATTATATGACGTTTTGTAAACGACATTATTGTTTTATAAAGTTCATACATAGTATATGGGTCTATCTAACTAAAGGAACAGTCGATAAGGATACCTTAAAACTATGAATCATCTTTCCTATCACTTTGCACATTTTGTATAGCACATTATTTATTATAGATCACATTTTGACTAGTCACGGTTTATCACATCTGTTTGTCCACGGAGGTCAAATCATGTCTCCTCTTTCAAAGGCGTCTGAACAAGTTTACTGCTCTCAGCTGGTTTTCTGTTCTTTACTTTCTCGTCTTTTTGTTTTTTAGTCCTACTATCTTTATTTTGTCTCGAACCGTCATTAGATTCGTTGGTTTTACTTTTCTTCGTTGATTTCTCAGCGTCTTTCCGCATATTGGTCGGTGTTTTGACGTCCATGGTCTTATCCAACGTTGAGGTCGAGGGGCGTTTCTTCTTGTTTATTTTACTTTGTCCCGTCACTTTGGTGGTCTTGTCCTCACGGAAGGCGAGGAAGCCCAGCTGGGCGTGAGAGGCTTCGTTCAGGGCTCGTGACCGAATACAAGCTCTATATTGGTCCGACGACTGTTGCTCTCCGGTACATTTCTGCAAATTACAATAGTTTGATTTGTCTTAGTTAAGAAAGATTGTCTCACAGTGTATGTTTGTTTATTAAAATACAGAACATGGCTTTTATATTTTAGATCAAACTAGTTTCCAATGACTCAGTTTAAGAAAATGAATTTGTACATTGCATTAAGAGGTACGATAGAGTGATAAGTAAGTCTATAATATTAGGTGCTGGGCACTTGGATATAAAAAGATTGTCCAGCATTCGTGTATTTTTTTTCTACCCATTAAGGTGCTGTAATGGTGTTTCCTAGTTATTTTTTTACATTTTGTCAGGTATTGATCTCTGTTCTGAAGGGTAGTATATTTTGATTAAACCTAATGCTGTTACATTTTGTGATAAAGTTCTCACCCGTCACCTGCAAAACCCCATACTAAAATAGTTAACAATTGTGTAGATTGTAAGATACATGAGGAGTCCCTTTGACGTTATTTAACTACATACATTTAAAGTGTACCTTTGCATGCCAGATGTGGAATATCCCGGGATCCGTCGCCCTCACGACCTTTATACGACTGCGGATATACTTGCGGTACAACAGCACGTCCTCCAGTCCCCAGCCTACTGGCTCCTCGTCGAACCCTCTGACACGGAGGAAGTCTGACCTACAACAGTATACAACATCCTGATGACAACAATAACTAACGGAAAATTAAAAATTTTAATAGTATATTTCGTACCTATGGCCGAAAACCATTTCGGTCCGTGGTACAAACGCTTTTTTTCATCACACTATACCCTATTACCACTATTCGCCACGATAATAAATGCACACTGATAGTCAACACAACTACAACTTTAAAGTTATGTGAAGAAATAATTAGAGGAATCAGAAAAAATAATAATAAATAGTTACTAGGCAGCGATGCCGATAAAACAATTCTATTGCAATGCGATTGATACTGATTGTGTTTGTGTATGCATTCACGTTTTAAGAAAGTACAGTAAGTGGGCAGCTGATTTTGCGGCACTAGGGATGTAAGAATCTGCTTGGTCCCCAAATGGTGATTACAGCCGGCATGGCCAGCAAAACGTAACTTTCAGCCACCAATTGAAGTATGTAAAACAGCTAAAAACATCATAGTGTAGTGAAAAAGATTTTTCATCATACTCCAGCAAAAACAGTCATTTTTAATGCATACGTTGCCGGTCTAAAGTAGTAAACTAAACTAAGTAAACTATCATTTTTAGTCTTTAGGGAGTAAAAATCAGCCGTTGTAAAAAGTTGTAAATGTCGATTGTGGCAATCGTATCATTCGAAATTATTTATCTATTGATTTATTAGGTAAGGTTTTAGCCTATTGTTGTCGATTGCTCGACATATCGATGGTATAATGTATTGTAACACAATCGTTATAGACGATATGATTGAAACACTTACCAAACAGCTGCTTATTTGCATAAGCAGAATTGAAAACAAGCTGGAATTCGTTTTGGGAGGTAATATTTACATAACAATTATTTCGTTTTCTAGCTTTGTTTGTTGATTAATGCAATATGACGAAAAATATAGTTCCCCACACTGGCAAACGGTGACTTTTTAACCCTCGCTCATTTTCCGACTTCGGTTAAAAAAGAGTCACTTTAGGGCCCTAGTGATGAAATATACTATATTACGGTACCAAAATTAATCGGCAACATGTAGTTCTTTGTTGTTTTTTTTTTCAGTTCAGAAGAGTACATTAAATTGTTAACACATATGTGTGAGGACTTTCAAAATTCATCGGAAAAAGGACTATGTTTGAAAATGGGAATTCGTGGTCAAAACTATAATTGAAGGTGAATTAACAAGTTTGTTTACACCAAACAAATCTGAGAATGCACTAAATAAAAGGTATATACATTTTTTGAACGCGCAACTGAGAAGTAAATGTTTACCATGATCATGTGAAGTGTTTATCATGTGTTTGATGATCTTACTTGTACTGACAGGTCATTCCATATCCAAAGTCCCTCCAGAAGCCGGTGTCCCTCGAGATGACCAGTTGGTCAGTCTCAGAAGGCACTTTCTTGCCTTGAAGCGTGTAGACGACATGAGGGTTGTAGAGGCTGAACACTACAGGGTAGTACACCCTCACTCCTGGTCGACTGTTCCAGCGACACCTATCTAGGAACCGCGCACTGAACACAATGTCCACATCACACAGGAACAGCAGCACGTCTTGCTGGTCCTTCAGGACTCCTGGCTGGTCCCAGGCACGTTCCGCACCGACTCTGAGGCCCTTAGCTCTTGAAAATGTCTCGTTCAAAGCCAACAATCTTAAACTGTTAGCGTGTCCGTTTTTACCAGCGACTTTAGACATTATCATCCTCGCTTCCGACAATCCATCCTCTCCGAAATAAACGACCGTTAGTAACACGTGACGGTCGTTCTTTAAGGCTATTTTGACGAATTTATCCATGAAGCCTTGAAATGTAGGTATTCTACCGGACAAAGGTAAAATGACATGGATAAGTTCTTTTTCTCTGGTTTGTGGCAGGGTATTACTATTTAATGTCAACAGCGGGGCGAAGGGCTTCATAACAGATACTTTGGTGTAAATCTGTCCTTTGTTTTGTCTCGTCCTGAAGTACATTTCATATTCAGTGCCCGTCGTTGGAACTGTCCTGTATACTCCTTCTAAAAAGTCTTCAGTCGTGTACTTCGGTTTACCATACAAGGTGGTATTTCTGTTTAACAACTCTAACGCAGAGTTGACGGCTTCAAGAAGGTCTTTCCTCTTGAACCCGATAGGCTTTTCTACGACTCTCTTGCCCAGTCCGAGATCTGTCGGGTAGACTCTGTTCAAGGTGAAGTGTGTGAAGGCCACCAGCTCGTACTCGTTGTTGAGGGACACGCCTTGAGATACTTCTGCAGCCTCCACTTGATGCCTCATGTGCGAGGAGCAGTCGCTCCCATTCAGTGGCGAATCCATGTGATAAGAGAAACCTAAACAACAAATGGATTATAATTTATTTAGGGCGAATGGTTTCAGGATTAATTCATTTTTAAATTATTTTACTTAAGAAAAATGTCATCCGTAAGAATACTTCATAGTAATTTCTTTTATGGATTAATACGTTGATTTTGATTTTTTTTTTATATATGAAGAATCACAAATGATCAGTCTTGTTGTTGTATTGCAACAACAACATCCTTGAAGATTGTCAGATCTACACAATAAAAGTGAAAGATAACTTATGACTTGAACGCTTTATTATGTTGAGATGGTACAGGATATCTTTATTAAGTTATCTGTATTTTTCCTTTTTATATTTCTTTTCATTTGCATTAGTAGCTTCTTGCATCATACTTTAACGTATTAGTGGTTTAAAGCTCAAAATAAAATAAATTAACTATTACGAATTTCATTTAGTCTTTGACTCAAAAATGTATATTTTACACAAAAAGGAATTTTAGAGGAGAATAAGTCTCACTACAGGCAAGAGAATCCGAACTCTTATTTTGTCCTGACTCCAACATATCCTTTACAATTTCTCACTCACACCTTTTCAATTGATACACGGATGGGATTTAACTTAAAAATCCTTCCTCTTCACTATCGTCCCCAAGTATTGAAACAAAAATCTCTTGATATTCAATAGCCATTAAATATTTTTGGACTTTAATTCTAAATAGTACAATACTTTTACACATCTTTGTCTTTGATTTATAAATTGTGGATTGTTTCCTGTGGTTATAATTTTTTTAAGACACGTCGTAATATCTGATGTATGTTTTATGTTAACATTGTTTGGTAAGCTTATCCACGGAAAACCAATAAGGAACTACTGTATCTAAAGTCGGGACCACGTAAGTTTGCAGTTGGTGGCAGCCTATCACAAGACAAAGCTAGTGCGACATTGCCACATCGCCCGTTGACAACACTAATTAAAATACACTAAGCAATATTTTCAAATCAGCTGGGTGATTAGATTTGGCAACACCGCACGGTTCTCATTTGTTCATTCAAAACCATAAGGTAAATAGGCTCCTCCCTCAACTGCAAACTTACGTGGTCCTGACTTTAGTACTGTACATAAATACATAAAACTCCTAATTCTTCAGGGTGCAACACTGTCCCATTACACATTGTTTCAGTTATCATCATCGTAAACAAGCATCTCAGCTTGACATGAAATAATTAACGTGCGTTGGTTTCTTAGACTTGTTAGAAATATTCAAAACTAGGCATTCAAAAGCTGATACAAATCCGAATATCAAAACAATACAGTCAAAATAAAGAACAAGTGACAATGTAAGGAATGACACTAAACCAAGGATTCCAATAATGTAACTAACTAGTAAGACGTTGCATTATACCTCAGTAACATATCATATTCAAACTCCAAGTACACTTGACTGCAATTGTTGATGATGGACATTTCATTTCATGTTAAAGTTGCAGCTAGTTTTAAAATAAAATGAACATAGTTGGGTAGAGATCAACCCACCAAAGGAGAGCGCTGATGTAAATTTCCGATTTATTTCGAATACACAAAATCCTCAACCAAGCCAAACTGAAAAAAGGACTTATAGTTTATGTCTATCTCGGTACCAGAAACTAAGGTTGGAAACACAATTTATAACGGAGCACACCCCATGTATGGTTCAAATCGACAATGTTCTTACAATAAAACGATTGCTACACCTGGACCATAGAGTAAGGACGTCAATGCTGCTACGTACCCAAGTCCTGAGCCTGGTAGTGCAGCAGCTGCAGTTTCAAGCCGCGGATCTCCTCCGTGAGTCGCGCCACCTCCACACGGTTCTCCTCCTCCCGCTGCTCCAACAAGGAGATGTACGCTGCTGTGTTTGACAGTGGCTCGCTTTTTCCTATAAAAAATCAAGTTTGATGGATTCTACTAATTTTTCATGGTACAATTTTCAATTTTCGCTAATTCTTAAAACCAAAACTAAACTTGTTAAGGCAACTATTAGTTTTGTATAGTTGTGCATATAGCCACCACCAGTAATCCCAGTATTAATCTATACAACTAAATTATTTGTTTATCTTTTTTAATTTAGTTTGAAGTAGCTATAATACTTTATTAGTAGATAGTTTAATGTATGATTATTATGATTGTGCATCAAACTAATTAGTATGACTGTATCTTATATTTATTTATGCAGTGTAAAATCTATCGACAAAAATACAATTAATCATTATATTACTTGGCCTATATCACATGAAAAATTAAATACCTAAAACGGAAGGTGTATCTTGAATACCGCATCGTCCGAAGATCAGTAGTGAAACGAGACTCAAGCCACCGGCGAACAACCAAACACGGGTCAGCAGGCGCATGCTCAGCAACCTCAACATGGCGCAGCATCTTCTGTAACAACATGTTACATTCAGTGCCAAAATAATTAACAGTATCAAGTAGCATATTCTGCAACAACACTTGAAGTTTAACTTCTGAAATGCTTATCATTCTGAAGGGTGTCTGTGTCCGTATAAGGATGTCTGCTTGAAAGTGATCAAATCAATCTTTTAGAACATGTAGGACTCCACAAATTCTACTCGTTGAATATCAAGTAGAGGTATAAAGAGTAACAACCCTTATGCTTAGCTTCTACCCAATGTTGAATCATTTGTCGATCCCAGACCGAACGATCTTACTACACACTAGTGGCTTTTAGGGGCAATAGCCCCTATATATAATATATATTCTGTCTCATGGGTTGAACCTTGAACCATTGGGTTGATCTCCATTGGGTCAACTTGAATTATCGTTTAACATTTTTGTATATTATAATATGTATAATAATTATTACATACCTGCATACAGTAATGCATTTTGTTGTCTGCTCTGTTTAAAATAAAAGTTCCAAAAGACTGCTCATGCGGTATTATACAAACTTTCTAATCATAAATACAACTAAGGAACATTTTCAATTATAATCTTCATGACCATTAATTAAATATATATAAATCTCTTTGAATGTAGACAAATTCACTTAGAGTAAACACATGGAGATAATGTCATCCTCCAGATTGTAAAATGCTAATTACAATGACAGAAAGATATTGTATTTTGTTTATAACAAAATCTCTCTGAAAACAACATTTGTTTTATGGTATCCATTTTGGTCGATTCCTTCGTCTTTATTTGATTCTAGTACTATTTTAACATCATCTGGCTGCTTTAACTGACTAAAAGCAACATAAAGTTGAAAGTTGAGTTGTTGGGTAAACACTGTTTTTTTTTTCTTCATATAAATGCCAACTTTTGTTAAGGTTTGGCCTTGTCCTTTGCTTTAATAATAAGTAATATTGAAAGCTAATCGCAATGGGAATTGAATACTTGTAAACTTAAACGGCATATCAGGATCTATAGATATTAATTTTATTTTTGGCATGGAAAAATAAGTTCCCTTTGCCTACTCCAGTAATCACTTCTAACTTTACACTTTGTTCAGACATACCTAACACAACCAATCGTACTCCAATCCAGATCCTTAAAATTTGGAAAATGTCTATTTCAACTTTATAATAGTATGCATTACGCTTTAAGTATAGTTAAACCACATGTTTTAAAGTAAACAAAGCAGACATGACCTAGATTCCCATGTTATTTAAATGTGAATTATTTTATTCCGTAAGAACCTTTTGGTGCATAATTAAGAAAAATGAATATTTTTCCCCAAAATTTCATGCCGAGACCTTAAAAATGAGACCTCTCCCAGCTTTCTACGTCCTCCCGTTAGCTCACAATTTCATTGTAAAATTTTGGGCTTACGGAATTAGATATATAGATATGACATGTTACATGATACATAGGATACATTCTGTATGTAATTATTATTCGTCAGAAACTAGCTTCAAGTCGGGCAAACCTTGTTGCAAACACGTTCCTGAACAATAATGATTATTAATAATGTTGGTTACGTGAGTCATAACTCAGGTAACTTTGATAAGGTCTAGATGTGCCCTCTCTTATTTAATGTTTTTTCATTGGCAATTCAGCATTACCTGTTTGTTGTATGGAAATGTCCCACTCCTATACCTGATTTTTTTGGTTTTTTTTCTTCTTTTTCTGAAAAGTAAGCTAATCATGACCTCTGGAATTACATTCTTCTTTTATGTGTATGCATATACTTAAATTGATTATTTATACATCTCAATGCACAGCGATTTCAATAATTTCATTTAGTGCTAAAAAATAAGGAAATATAACGCACTAGAACTCAAACTCAAGATTTATTAGTTACGTTACTAACTACAGAGTTCACAAAACAAAAATAAATTGTTATTCTTTAACACCTAAATTACAATGGCTGAATCTTATGTTTACCGAAGTAATGTGTTGATATATTTAGATACTACTATTGCCTTTGTAAGGCATGTGCACATTATGGACGCTCAGTTAGCCATTGATATGCAGTGAGGGATGTAGCGAACGTGTAATTACATGAGACTAATTTGCCTTTGATGGGAAGCAATGAAGTCAGCTAATCTTGTCTACGTATGATTTAATCAGCGGGTATTTTATTAAAAGGTATTGTTCAATGTTCAGAAAGGTCCGCGCTCCTTTCACAACCATTGTGGTTATTAATTTATCGGTCATTATCGATTATATTCGTAAACTATTAAAAATGCATTAATTAAGTAGTTGCATTTTTTTATGTTGCCAACACCAGGTTTATCGGAACTGAAAATGTATAAATAGATCATGATGAAACTGTTGGGTAACAATGTGCTCTTGAATACACTATTTGTACAATCAACGTGTTTATCATAGAAAACACACACGCGTTATCATAAATTAAGTTTAGCTAATATTCGATGACTCGTAGTTTTTCCTTAACTTTTAACTAGTTTTTATTTATACCACCACGTTCTAAATACTACAAAAACCCTTGATTAAAAGTTTAAAAATATAAGAAGTAGTTTTATGATTTGTTCCTTTAACAACGGTTTGGTGTTTAGATATACATCTGTTGACTGTAAATACGTACATTTAAAATCTCGTCAAGAAAGCAAAGAAGAGGAACATTTGGTATAATCTGTATCCTCCTGCTATTTAAAGTTTACGAGCAATGTCCTCACACAATTAAAAATATAGAATTCCTCATCATCAAACTATCAGAGTATTCGTGTAGTATTCCCTGTCTCAATGAACAATTGATTAAATGTTAGGTTTACCTTGTGGTTGCCAGAGTTTAAGGTACGTTGAAATGCCTGCCTTAAAAATCATTGAATTCGTAAACTCATTGTAGTCGTAAAAAAATATTACTATCCCATTTTATTAACTTTCAGTTTTTTATCACGGCAACATTTTTTTAGTTCATATCATTGCTAATAACATCTGCGTGGTTGGTAACAGTGACTAGAAAATCCCAACTCCCTCATAAATTGCTGATATCAGCAATCTCTGTCCATTTTATTGCAAACCATTTTAGGGAGCCATTTTGTTATAAGTGGGCCGATTTTTTTTTGAAAGTTCAATTATCTAGTTTCATTAAGACATGTAAAATTATACCAAAGTCGACTGTACTTCCATTTTGAAATATTTTAGCCAACCCCAACCCCCCCCCCCCCCCCCAACACCCACAAAATTTGGTGTGAGGTCTACCCTGCCCACCAAGGGCCAAACGTTCGAAATTAAGCATCATTATTTTAGCCCTTCATATCTAAGAAGGTTGCCGTAAACCGATTTCATATATCTCAAATGGTTTTAATTGGTTAAGGTGGGGGGTGCGAGATACTTTACAGCCGCTCTTTATTTACAGAGTAAATCACTTGAAAACACATTAACTGCTGAATTGCATGCTGCACCAAAATTGGAAAATAAAATGTGCAAGGTTGATGTTTCAGATTTATAGCAGATGATAAAATAAATATTAGTGTATAGTATCTTGCACTATTGATGATGATAGTACCATTTGATAAAGAAAGTTACTACAAGTGGCGGATGATTGGATTCTTCAGTATGGACTAATCGATTGATCCTCTAAAGACGCTAGATGATCACCAAATATGCTGAGTGCTCAAGTACAAGAGGAGAGTTTCAAAGGAGCCGAAACAGAAGAGCCATTCACTCAACTTCATCAAGGAGCATTTCAGTGACACTTCTATATTGTTACTATGTGATACTTTATTGCATCTTTTTGTAGTCTGTAGTAGTAAATAATAGAACATTTATTATTTGGTTTTAATACTATACATTTTTTTTAACCTAGCGAAAGGTAGAAATCGCAGTTTGGATGTGATACAAACTGTAGCTTCGAGATAATTTTTCAGTCATGTTTCCACTTTTAGGTCTCGGCATTTTTTTCGTCGGAAGTTTATAGTTGGTCAGAACAGCACGGTAAGGTATAAAAATTTACTTGTACACATTGACTTGAAGTTGTACACATGCAGGGCCCTTTAAGTACTAACTTAACATAATAATCTCTACAATTGTATTATTTATATTATTAGTATACATTACAACTAATGAGCTGTTTGTTTTTCATGTGTTTTCAGTTACTTTCTCTAATATAACTTAATAAATAAGTGACTAGACCACACTGCATTCCAAATAATTTTCTGTAATTATGGGAAGTGAATGTGCTAGAACCTACGCACGCATAAAATGAATCAACGATGCAATAGGTAACTACTAAAGAAATGTGTAACTAAATTAGTTAGCCTATATAATTATGTCTGAACCTAAGGTGGTACAAGTGTCGGTAGAATAAAATAGGTATAAATAAATAATTGCGGCAATATTCAGGGGTATTATGGTAATGAACACAGAAACGTATAAGCAAGACTTTTTTTCTAAAAATTATCTCAAAACCTCAAAAGTCTAACTGGACACGAATAGAGGGGAAATCTGGAATAATTGGATTAGTTCATTAAGACCCTTGCCCCACTGTATTACGGAAAATGTCAGATCTAACGACAGCTCTTTTGTTTAAACGGCTTAATGTTGAAATTTGAAAAAGGTTCTCTCTCGAGTTTGTTTTGATAATATTGTTAATTAAGGTGAATGAATGTTAGTTTTGATCTGTACTCATCAAGTATCCAAAATGTTAAAATGAACTAATTTTTTTTTTATCTGAAACAAATCCACTAATCCAGAATCACTCCTAAAGCCGACATAGGAAACCACAAGGTACAAGTTTTTATGGTGTATTCTAGAGGTAATATAGTATATTTCATCACTAGGGCCTAATTGATATATAATTTTGATCGATACGATTGCCACAATGTAAATTTACAACTTTAGACCCGCAACGCATGCATTAAAAACGGCTGTTTTTGCTGCAGTATGACGAAAACAAAATAGGCTACTATCATTCTCCAGCTGGAATAAGAGAAAAAAATTACTAACAATCAAATCAT